TGCCTGCAGGGGAAGCTCAACACAAGAAGGCTAGAGTCTTGAGCATGATCTCAGGCAGTATTAAAGGATAAGACATTTCAATTTTCTTTATATTTTTGCAACATTTAATTTGTTACCCTTTGTATTTTCAGGAGAAAGGCCCTTTAAGTGTCCCTTCGAAGGCTGTGGTCGGTCCTTTACAACATCAAATATCAGAAAAGTGCATGTTAGGACACACACGGGAGAAAGACCTTATTACTGCACAGAGCCAGGATGTGGGAGGGCATTTGCCAGTGCAACCAATTATAAAAACCACGTGAGGATACACACAGGTAACAGTCTCTGATCTCTTGGTCTTTTATCTTTCAAGGCTCAGTTTAATTCCTGCCTCTTCCGGAAACCATTTCCATTAATCTCTTCCCTCCTTCTACCAGCTGGCATAGTGAAAAGAGACTAATAAGCAAATTTAAAAAGTTCACCTTAGCATTCATATATTCATGTATTCAACAAACAGTTATTGAGCGTCTATTGTGTGTTCTCCTGCCAGGCATCAGAGAGACAGGTAAGACGTTGTCAGGGGCAGTCTACTTGAGGAAAGATAGTAGACATAGAGTTGCTGCAGTTGTATCCCATTGCACGAACAATATGCTGTGAAAGCAGAGAGGGAAACAATCATTTCTGTGGGAATGGGAGAACCATTCTAGGAACGCTTTCTAGGGCAAATTTGACCTATAGACTGAATCCTGAAGTTTGCCAGGTAGAGGGAAGGATATTTCTCGCAGGGGAAATGTCTTGGGTAGGGGCACAAAGGTATGTAAAAGGATGATACTGGTGGTGGTTCCATATAACATGAGAGCATAGAGTACGTGTAGAAGATTTGTACAAGGTGAGGTCAGAGAAGTAGTCAGAGGCCTTGGGTGTTGTACTGTCATGCATGGTAAGGGTGGTTGTTAATCTTGACTTTTTGGAGCCTATAGGGTGGGGGGATTAGGAGTCTATGGATATATTCTCTTTTGGTAAACAGCTTTATTGAGATATAATTCACATACTTTATAATTCATCCATTTAAACTATATGAGGCGGGGTGTGTTGGCTCACACCTGTAATCCTAGCACTTTGGGAGGCCAAGGTGGGAGGATTGCTTGAGCTCAGGAGTTCAAGACCAGCCTGAGCAACATGGGGAGACCCTGTCTCTACAAAAAAATAGAAAAATTAGCCAGGCTTGGTGATGTGCACCTTTAGTCCCAGCTACTCAAAAGGGAGGCTGAGGTAGGAGGGTCGTTTGAGCCCTGGAGTTTGAGATTGCAATGAAGTGAGCTGTGATGATGCTACTACACTCTAGCCCAGGCAACAGAGCAAGACTCTCAAAAAAAAAAAAGCTCAATCCAAATCCATTTACTTCTTGGCTGTGGTTTGGTGCCACCTAGTGGCAGTTTCTGCTCTAGTCTAAATATCAATTGGACTGATTTTCCAAGTTGAAACTGACTGCCATTTCTTTTGCCCTCTCCACATCTCCCCCACAACCATTCAACAAGATAAGAACTTTAACCTGCCTGCTTTGAGAATTGGAACTGGGCAGAGGACAGGAAACAACCTCCAATTACTTTATGTCTCAGACTTACATTGGCCGGGTGTGGTGGCTCACGCCTGTAATCCTAGCACTCTGGGAGGCGGAGGCAGGAGGATCACTTGAGGTCAGGAGTTCAAGACCAGTCTCAGCAAGAGCGAGACCCCTCTCTACTTAAAAAAAAAGAAAAGCAAAAATAAACCAGGCATGGTGGTGCGTGCCTGTAGTCCCAGTTACTCGGGAGGCTGAAGGAGGAGGATCACTTAAGCCCAGGAGTTTGAGGTTGCTGTGATGTAAGCTGACGCCATGGCACTCTAGCCCAGGTGACAGATCAAGAATTTGTCTCAAAAAAAAGACTTATATTATGTTACATTAGTATGAGATTTTACTGTTCGTGGGTGGT